GGCGGACCTTCTGTCCGCGAGGCCTGTGGTCAACCTCCTGGCGCAGGGCTTGTCGTGCGCCTGGGGCGCCACGGTGACCCTGGGCACGCTCTGCCTGTGCCGGCGCCGCCTGCTCGACGGCCCGCGCGGGTGGGACGCCAGCCCGGGGCCGCGCCTCCTGGCCGTGGCAGGTGCGCTGGGGCTGCTGGCCAGCGGCTTGCAGCTGGCCGCTTCCCTGTGGCTGTACCCGGGACCGGACCGCGTGGGCCGATTCTCGTGGGCCTGGTGGGGCGTCCACTTCTGGCTGCGCCTACTGGAGCTGAGCTGGGCGCTGGCCCTGGCGCTGGGTGCGGTGACCGCCGCACGGCCCAGGCCGCCCACAGAACACGCTTGCTGGGCCAAGCTGCTACGCCTGGCGTGTCCCGCGCCCGCAGGCAAGAGCGAGGTGCCCGAGCGACCCAATAACTGCTACGCAGGGCCCAGTGGCGTCGGTGCAGGCAGCCTGGACATCAGCAAGAGCCTCATCCGAAACGCAGCCGAGGGCAGACTGCCCGCCACGCCCAGTTCCGGCGCCTGGGGCTCAGCGGCCTCGTTGGGCCGCGGTGCCCAGGCAGGCCCAGGTCTGTCGCGCAGCAGCATGGGGCCCGCGCCGTCGCTGAGCGAGCTGGACCTACGGCCCCCGTCGCCCATCAACCTGAGCCGAAGCATCGACGCGGCGCTCTTCCGAGAGCACTTGGTCCAAGGCAGCGTCTTCCGCCGCTGCGGCCTGCGCGGCCTACTCTCCCCGCCGCCCGGGGGCGCCCTGCGGTTGCGCAGAGGCAGCCACCCAGACGCCGAGCTCGACGTTGCCTCTTCCCTGCTCCGGAGCCGCTGCCGGTCGCTAAGCGACATGCGCGTACGCGGCCCGCTGCCACCGCACGTCCTGGAAGAGGCGGGCCCTGCAGCCGGGACGGCTTCGGGCAGCTCTCTGGACAGCTTCTCCCGGGGCTCGCTCAAGATCAGCTGGAACCCGTGGCGCCACGGACTGTCGTCTGTGGACAGCCTGCCCCTAGACGAGCTACCCAGCACCGTGCAGCTCCTGCCCGCGCCCTCCTCTTCCTCGACTCCCACTCCTGCTGGACCTGTACAGCCCCAGGGCGAACGCCCGCAGGGCTGCAGGCCCGGGGATTCCCGGAGCGCTTCCAGTGACACCATTGAGCTCTGAGTGGTGTGGGGAAGCGCTAGGCCGAATCGGACAGGAGCACGCTGGAAAAACTGCCGTTACTGGGCCTTCACCAGATTCCAGGCCCTAGAAATGACCAAGAGGGAACCCACCCCACCCTCGTGTTTTTTGTTTTTAACATATCTCTATTTTTTTCAGCGGGTATTTTGCACAAAGGCCGTCGCTTGCACGGGATACAGGGTGGACATGTGCGGACTTGGGTATGGGAGAGGGGACCAAGCACCCCGTGTCCCAAGTGGCAGATGAGTGAAGCTTGCTGGTGTGGACTGTGCTTTGTGCCAAAGGAATAAACCCAGAGGCCTTGGCTCCTACCTCCCTCTAGCGATGGCGGGCGACACTGTTAGCAGAGGAGCCTAGGGCCTCCCTCCACCCCAGCACTGCAAGACCACTGATGTGGGGAGGGGAATACTCCCAGGGGAAAGGGCACTGGGCCCTCTGTGGCTTTACTAGGAACACTGGCAACTTTATTGAATTTCCAAAGTTCTGCTGGCCACATCTATGTTACCAGTATTCCTGGATGGCAGGCAGTGCCCCGTCCTCTGCAGAGATGAGGAAAGTGGTGTTCTGAGCCCTGGCCGCCCCGCCGCCCCATGCGCCTCCCTCCTGTCCTCAGGTTTTTAAAGAGCACCTCTCCCTTGTGAAGGCCAACCAAGCGCCGGGAGGAGGGAGTAGAGCTGCACCTTCTCCATTTTGCAAGAACGTTCTTTATTTCCTGAGATGAATAAATAAGTGGCTGAGGGGCAGGGGACGAGCCGGCAGCATGCAGCTGGCAGGAGGGGCTGCAGGGGCCCCAGCCCTGCAGGGACCACCCCACACACACACCATCCATCCCAGGCAGGGGCTAAAGCTTATTAGCAGCCACCAGAAACCTTTATAAAAGTTACACACACAGTGAAGCCTGCCCAGCTCTGCCGTCTGAAACTCATGGCAGGGGTGTCCCTCCTGGGCCCAGGTGCCTGGGCTGTTTTCCTTAAGGTGGGCAGAGGATTCCAATCCGGCTCTCAAGATAACCAGTCAACCTCCAGGGTCCATGTAGGGATTATCTGCCCTTGATGAAGCCCTCCAGCACTCGGTCACTGCGCTCGGATAGCCAGTAGCCAGTCATGGCTGCCACAGCCCCGATGAAGATGGCAGTGAAGACCAAGTCGCCCTTGGCAGCCAGCGTGGCCAGTGCACAGATGATGACACCAAAGAACATCTGCTGCAGCACCACCAGCTCATCCTCCGTCATCTCTGAGAAGAAGCCTGCTGACTCTGCAGGGGATGGGAGCAAGCACCCTGTCATGGCAGTCCCCAGCAGCCCAGGACTCCCACACACTGGGCCTGCCCACACCTTGCTCACTGCTCTGGATGAGCCTGCCAGCAGGGGTGGTTACTGGCCCTGCCAGCCTGATGGGAAGCAAGCTGGCAGAAGTGAAGGGTCTGAGGAAGGCCATACAGTAGGCGAGTCAGGGCAGAGCCAGGCAGCTGGATTTGAACCTCAGCTCAGCAACCTGCTTGCTGTGTGGCCCTGGGCAAGTTGCCTGACCCCTTGGCCTTCATTTCCTTAAGTGTAGAAGGGGGACAAGGGTAAGCCACACTGCATGGGGCTGGCTGAGGGCTTAAATAAGTGAACACCTGTCACGTGCCTGAGACAGGAACTGACACACAGAAAGAGGTAAGGAGGCAGCACCTCCTGTCCTGGCAGTCACCATCCACCTGGCCAAAGCCCACTGCCCACTGTGGTACGCAGGAGGTAGGACCAGGGCAAAGATTGGCGCCATTAACAGACGGGGAAATGGGCGTAGGGGGGCTGGTGCCAAGTCCAGTGTCCTCTCTTCCCTGGGCGTGAGCCTCCTACAAACCAGCCTGGAGATCAGTGGAAGGGGCTGGATCTCAGTGTAACTTCTGAATGCAGTGGAGCATGGGCAGGCTGAGAAGGGGTTGCCCCCCCACACACACACACTGGCCCTCCGAGCCCTGGCAATCAGGATGGGCTCACCTGGGACCTGCTCCTTCACACATATGCCCTCCATCTGCACATAGCCCTCGGCACAGACACAGCGGTAGCCGCCCTCCGTGTTCTCACACTGCTCGTTGGCTCCTGGACACACCTCTGTCTCACACTCGTCCACGTCTTGAGGGAGGAGAAGGGATCAGACTCTGGAGCCCCTAGATTCCACCTCGCTCATATGCTGCCTCCCCCCTCCCCCTCCACATCTGTTTCCCAGCCCCGTCTTTGTGGTGGGAGAAGCTGCGCAGCAGGGGGAGACTTACCAAGACACTTGGAGCCCACCTGCTGGTAGCCAGGGCTACACTTCTTACAGCGGCCGGGGCCTGCCCCCATGCAACCCAGGCAGGCCTTGGCACAGTCTGAGGGTGACAGGAGAGAAGAGGGTGAAAGCTGCCCCAGATCTGGGGGCCCTGGGCCTGAGGAAGCAGGAGCAGGCCAGCTCCTGCTCCCCTCTCCACACATCCCTCAGAGTGGACACTAACCTCGGCACTCATAGGAGCCCTCTGTGTTCACGCAGAACTGGTCAGCACCACAGCTAGCACGCTCTGTGCCACACTCGTCGATGTCTGCCGAGGAGAAGGGGAAATTTCAACTCTTACACCACCAGAGGGAAAGCTGAGGCCAGGGGAGGCGGGAACAGACTTAGCCGGGATGAGCTGGCACAGCAGACGGCATGCTGTCCATTGAGAGCAGCAGCATTGGAGCTGGTCTCTGGGCTGCCCAGCAAGAAGCTATGCATGTTTTCCCACGTGCCTTGCAGCTAAGTGGGTGGCCGTGTAGGCCTAATTGCTGACCACCAGAATGGAAAATACAAGTGATGCATCCCACTGTTAGCAATGGGCTTGCACTCCTCCATACTTTCTTCCCAGGTGCCCAGCAGGCCTCAACCACACAGACAGCCCCCAGCGGACGACGGAGTGGTAAGGGAGGAGGGACCGGGGTCAGTAATGGGCTGCGGCAAGCAGAGCATTTCTGCCAGCCTAGACCACTCGGTCCCCGAGACTGTGACCTAAGGCAGAAATAAATGTTTGTCTTCTGTGAGCCACGTATTGGGGAATCTTTTTTTATCAAAGCATCTTAGCCTTCTCCCTTACTCTGCGTGGTCAAAACCAAGTACTTCAGCCCAAGGTCCAGTACCTTCATTGCCCCGACTGAGCCTGCCTCACTTTTTAAGACTTGGTCCAAGGACACCTCATTCAGGAAGCCGCCCCAGCGAGCTGAACAGAGCACACCCCTCACTGTACACAGACCATCTGTGCCGTGAGCGCCTGGCCGCTCTTCTGCCGCCTCACCCAGGCGGGGCGCTCCACGAAGATGGGGCTGGGATCGGTCTAGTCCAGGAGCATGCGTCCTGAGAGGATGTGGGCCGGGTTGGCCCCACTCACCAACACACTTGAGGTGGTGCAGCGCCCAGCCCGTCCTGCACTGCAAGCAGTTGGATTCCTCAGGTCCTGAGCAGCGGGCACATGGGCCAAAACAAGCTGGGGGAACGGGCTCGTGTGAGGATGGGCAGGGCGCATCACACCTGCCCCCGCCCAGCACCATGCCCTCCGGCTACCTACCCGAACATACCAGATGGCTGGCGTTGCGCTCGGCCTCGAAATAGCCAAGGCCACACTGGCTACAGGCCTCGCCCCCATAGCCAGCTTGACAGCTGCAGCGGCCACTGCCCCCTCGGGTCCCCTCTCCTTCACACTGCCCGTGTCCACCGCAGGGCTTCTCTGCACCTCCGGGGCAAGCTGAGGGTAGATGCCAAGCAAGGTGAGAGCTGACACGCTACTCTAGACTAGAACATACCCCACGCACGGTTAAACATCTCTGGAGAAGAAACTTCCTTTTAATGACAACACAATATTTTGATAAAGAGCTCTATTAAATTCCCTTAACCCAGCCGTTCTCAACCTGTGGGTCGAGAGGACCCTTTCACAGGGGTCGCCCGATTCTTAACAGTAACAAAATTACAGTTATGAAATTACGAAAATAATTTTATGGTGGGGGGGGGTCACCACAACATGAACTGTACTAAAGAGTTGCGGCATTAGGAAGGTTGAGAACCACGTTTGGCTCATTTGGTTACTTTTAAAAAAATAAAGACTGAGTTGACCATGTTTGTAATTAACTCTGTATCTACAGCTTTTTTTTTTTTGTATCTGCAGCTTTAAGTGAGACTGTCTTCAAAAAGGTCACAGGAAGTTAGCTGTTCCTGCCTTGCCTGAGGATGGATGGTGAAGGGGGCCTCTGGGGCAGCACCTGTCCCTCCCTAGGAAGGCAGCCAGCGGGAGAGGCCTGATTGATCCAGGCACTGGAAACAGGGGGCTGGAGGGATCAGGATTTCCCTAATAAATGACACCCACAGCCGCAGATGATGCAGCCCAGCCCTGGCCTTTTTCAAAGCCTTCCCTCATTGATTTGCAGGCAAGAATAGGGTCCAGAGAGGCTATGTGAGCAGCCAGAGACCACACAGCCCATTAGGAAAGACTCCCTGCCATCACAGTCCCTCCTGGGCCTCCTATCCCTAAGAGCGACTTGAGAAACTCACCAAGGCAGGAGGGCCCGAACGTGCCGGAGGGGCAGCAGAGCTTCAGAGACTCTGAGCAGAGCCACTGGAAAAGGTCAGGGGCTTCCTGCTGCCTGGGGCAGGGTGGGGAGGTACGTGTCAGGGCTGCAGCACACACTGCCCTCCCTCACCCCCAGCCCCCTAGAAACCTAGGATACAACCCATTGGGGCTCAAGACTCTTCAAGTCACCTGACCAAAGCCCTTTCCTCATGTGGCAGAGGGGTAAACTGAGGCTCAGAATGGGAGCTTGGCCTCACCAGCCTTTCCCCACAGGCCTGCCTCTGGCCCCTCCCTGGGCAGGCGTGCCACACCACTCACTCATGAAACCACCAGGCCTCCACCAGCTCCTCACTCAGCTCCAGCAGGCGGTGGCACGCGAAGTCCGACTTGCTGCACGCAGTCTCCAGCACCTCCACCAGACGGGTCTCACTGACCAGACAGGGCAGATGGGGGGCGGGTGCAGGGGGCGTCAGGCCACCTGCCACCCTCCTTAGGTGCCCCCCCCCAATCCTCAATCCTCCTTGTGCCCATGAAGAGACCATGGGGCCCATGAAAGGAGTCCTGGTTTTAGGAATCAGACAGACCTGGGTCCAAATGTAGTTGTGTGACCTCGGGCGAGTCACTTAGGTTTGTCGCAAAGTGCCCAAGTGCCCTGCATCCTACAATGCTGGATAGATGTGATCCCAAATACATCACGTCACAAGTGCTGCTGAGCACGCGGAGAAGTCGGAACCGTCGGGGTCACGGAGGGGAGTATGTAAAATGGGGCAGCTGCTGTGGAAGAGTGTTTGGTATCTCACAATGTCAAACACAGAATTACCATATGACTCATCAAGTCTACTCCCAGGTATAAACCCCAAAGAATTAAAAACAGATGTGCAAATAAAAGCATACATGAATGTCCACAACTGTTCAGCAAATGATGATTGGGTTCACAAAAATGTGACACAGCCATGAAATAGACTACAATCTGCTACCATGTGGATGAACTTTAAGTACTGACTGAGTGAAGGAAGCCAGATGCAAAAGGCCACATATTGTATCATTAAAAACCCTCAAATTCACTGCCGTCTAATCAACGCTGACTCACAGGGACCCTGTAAGGACAGGGTAGAACTGCCCTTGTGGGTTTCTGAGATGGTAACTCTGAGATAGTAACAAGAAAGTCCCTTTTTTCTTCCGAGGAGTGGCTGGTGGTTTTGAACCACTGACCTTGTGTCCCGCAGCCCAACAGGTAACCACGACACCATTAGGGCCTCTGGAATTCAGGAGGGAAGTGGGAACTAGAAACATGGTGCGGAGATAGCGTTCATTCTTAAAGCCATGAGGTTGGTAGGATTCTCCAGGGGAAATCTTGATAGATTTTCTCAAAGGGCACACAATGATCATGAGGGTTTATTGTGAAGCTTTAAGAAAATGGAACTTTCTACTCCAGTCAAGAGTTTCTGTCTCAGTTGAAGGTAATCAAGCGGCCATCTAGCTCAGAAGCAACAAAGCCCACATGGAAGAAGCACACCAGCCTATGCGATCATGAGGTGTCGAAGGGATCGGGTATAAGGTATCAGAACAAAAAATCTTACCATAGTGAATGATGGGGGGAGTGCAGAGTGGAGACCCAAAGCCCATTAGTAGGCCACTGGAGATCCCCTTGCAGAGGGGTCTCGGGGAGGAGACGAGCCAGTCAGGGTGCGATGTAGCAACAATGAAAAATACAACTTTCCTCTAGTTTTTAAATGCTTCCTCCCCTCCCCACTCCCCGACTATCATGATATGAATTCTACCCTGCAAGTCTGGCTGGACCAGAGGATGTACACTGGTACAAATAGGAACTGGAAACACAGGGAATCCAGGCCGGATGATCCCTTCAGGACCAGTGGTGTGAGTGGCGATACTGGGAGGGTAGAGGGAGAGTGGGTTGGAAAGAGGGAACCGATTACAGGAATCTATATGTGACCTCCTCCCTGGGGGACGGACAGCAGAAAGGTGGGTGAATGGAGACATTGGACAGGGTAGGATATGACAAAATAAACAATTTATAAATTATCAAGGGCTCATGAGGGAGTGGGGAGCGGGGCGGGAGAGGGAAAAAAAGGAGGACCGGATGCCGGGGGTTTAAGTGGAGAGCAAATGTTTTGAGAATGATGAGGGCAATGAATGTACAAATGTGCTTTGCACAATTGATGTATGTATGGATTGTGATAAGAGTCATATGAACCCCTAATAAAACGATGAAAAAAAAAAAAGAATTCTCCTACTCAGTGATACATGGGGCTGCCCTTAGTTGGAATTCACTAAGTTCAAGAGTTTCCGTTTCGGAAACTCACAGAGGCAGCTCTACCCTGTCCTATGAAGTCGGTGTGGGTTGGAATGGACTCGGTGGCAGTGAGTTTGGGTTTCCTGAGATCCAGATTCCTAAAATTAAATCCACTTAGATGTCTAATGGGCATCTTGCGTTGAGAGAGGAGTCCCCATACTCCCTTGCCCCCAACACTTTTTCCTTCCCCAGCCTTAACCATTGCCGGGAACTGCCCCACTATTCAGCCAGCTGCTCAGGTCCAAAACCCAGTACAATCTTTCTTGCTCATATCCCATAATGAAGCAACCAAGTCCTACTGGCTAGACTTTCAAAAGATACCCAGAGTTCTACCTCTTCTCAATGTGTCCCCCACTAGGGACCCCACCTGTCAGTGCTGCCCCCATGCCTGGATTACACCATGGCTTCACAACTGGTCCCCCTCCTCCACGTGGGCCTGGACAGTAGTCTGTCCACCACAAAATACTGTGAGCCATCTTTTAAACAAATAAGTAATACCCCATCATTCCCTGCTCACAATACTCCCAGTGGCTACCCACCGCACTCAGCACACAGTCTACACTTTTCTTTAGCTTTCAAGGCCAGTTGGCCTGGCCCTGGCAGGCCTACGTCTTCCACCACTTTCCCTACCAATCAAAACACAAACCCACTGCCACCAAGTTGATTCTGACTCAGCAACCCTGGAGGGCAGCGTAGAACTGCCCCTTTGGGTTTCTAGTCTTTATGGGAGCAGACGGCCTCACCTTTCTTCCCAGGTGTGGCTGGTGGGTTTGAACTGCAGCCCAGAGCAGAACGCGCTATGCCACCCCCACCCCCCACTCCAGCCATGTCTCAAATCCACCAAGCTCAGTTGTACCACCCCCTTGGCTGAAACCCTTGCCTGACGGTCACAGCTCTGACTTCTTCGCCTCAGGCCTCTGTTCAAAGGCCAAACCATGTCAGTGAGGCCTGCCCTTGAATGGTTTAGGAAAAAAGCCCCCTTTAGGGGAAACTCCCTAATTCCACGGTCCCTCCCCTGCTTGACTGCTTTTCTGTGGGCTAACATTATCTATTGAGTTAGTCGCTGCCTAAGCTTGCTGGCTGCCCTACTACAGACTATTCAGTAAATATCTGTTAAAGAGCTAAGTGCTCCCCAACCCTTCTTAGCCCAGAGAGCTGAGATTGGAAGACAGTGTGTCCTTTGACCTCCCTGACCCCCCCCCTCCTCTCCTACCACCCCCCCACCCCAGCCCAGCCCCTTACCTGTCTTTGTATTTGGACAACTTCTCTTCTTCCCAGGCTGTGTTTCCTCCTCCGAAGTTGTCCCGGATGGTTCTTTCCAGGCCCTGCAGACAAAGAAGATGAGTTTTGGTTGAGGATGGTGCCTGGCACCAGCGTTCTAATGATCTTCACTGACCAGCACACTGAGGCTCCAAGGCTAGTAAGGAGCCAAGATCGGCCCTGTGGCCAGGCCATTCTGCAGCCCACTTTTAACTGCTGTGGCCCCACCCTCCCGCCCGCGCATGGGAGGCTGCAGGTGCACCCACCTGGTTGAAGCTGTTGACCAGTCCCCGACAGGTGTGGCAGGGGTGGGGCTCGGGCGGGGGAGAAGCCTGGGGAGGCGCGGGCGGCTGAGGCCGCACGGGTCCTGGAAGGCTGAGGAAGAGGCTGAGACCCCCGAGCAGGGCTGGGAGCAGGCCGCTCAGGGGCCGCCGCGGAGCCATCTCTTGGCAGGCGGGGGGGACCTATGGACGGAAGGCGGGAGGCGCCCCTCAGAGCTAAGCCCCGGGAGCGAAGCAAAGCGGCCTCGGGGCGGTGCCACGGGGCCGGGCGCCCAGATCCGCGTGGGTAAAAGCGGGGAGTCTGAGGCGCGGGGAGAAGACGACCTGCACGACCGACCGAGAAGGAAATAAATGCCACCGTGGGGGAGGTGGGGGGGTGGCCTGGCTCCTGGCGTTAAGGGGTCACGGAGTCGGCGCGGAGTTTGGGGAGAGAGGCTGCGACATTAAGGGCCGATCGGCAAGTCCGGGGTAAGGGGTCAGACTGGAGCAGTCGGGGAGGCGGCCGGATGGGCGGTTCTAGGGGAGGAGCCCGGATCCGGATATGAGGAGGGGGATAAGGTTCAGGGCCTCGCAGGCGAGAAGCGGACAACAGTGGACGAGCGAGGGAGGGCGCAGACCCGCTAAGACAGCAGCGGCGAAGGAAGGGCCACCGCCACAGCCCGTGGGCGCCGACCGACGGCTTCAGCCTCCCCAGCGCAGCCGCAGCCACGGCCTGCGTGAAACGTGCGCCCGCCGGCGGCTGCGCCGCAGTCTGGGGGGCGTGGCCGACACCCTAGCCAATAGCGGCTGGCCGTGTACCCTTGCGTCATCACACCCTAGCCAACCAGCGGTAGCTGCGGGCTGCACCTGCCCGCCCGGGTCTTTAAAGGGCAGCGGGGCAAAGGACCCGGCTTGAGTAGCAGCCCGGACACAGTATGAGCCGCGAATAGGACAGTAGTGTTAGCCTTTATTCAAGTCCTATCCTGGGCCCCGAGGCTCATCCTATCTTCTATCGAGCCCCGGGCCTGCCAAGGGCGGGAAGCAGCTGTCCAGGGCGTGCTGCAGGGCCCGGGCCACGGGCTCCGTCCTCTCCCGGCGGCGCCCCGTCCGGGGGCCGTCAGATCCCCGCAGGGCCTCCAGGAAGTCAGGCAGCTGCGCGGGCAGCGAGTAGATGGGCACGGAACGGAAAAGGGCGGGCACGGCGGCCACGGGTAGCAGCCGGTCGAAGCAGGCCCCGACGTAGCGGCCGGGCGCCCGACCCTGCAAGAAGTCTGGCAGCACGCAGCTGAGCGAGGCGGCAAAGGCGTCGTTCGGCGTGTGCGCCCCGGGCGCGGAGGCCGCGTCCTGCAACCACTCGCTGCACAGCGCCACGGCCCCGGGTGAGAAAAGCAGGACCACCACGCCACCCTCCTGCAGGGTCTGGCGCCGCTGCGAGTGGAACCAAGCCAGGGGGCCCTGCGTGCTCAGCTCACGGCGGCTCCACAAGTCCACGGTCACGCGCAGCGGCAGCCGGCACAGCGCCGACGCCAGGACGCCCACCAGGCGCTCGCAGCTGGCGTTGTCGGGGGAGTAGAGGAGAAGAGCCCGGCGGCCCCGCGTGGCCTCTGCCAGAGAGAGAACAGGGGAGGCACAGAGGCCAGATGGCCCGAGGTCCAGCCCCGAGTTTGCACACACTCATTACCCCCCAGCCTCCTCCCCACTCCCCACCCCCGCAGCGGGCGCCCTTCTCCAAGACCCACAGCCATTCTGTTAGGGATGGTGGGGCAGAGGCGCTCTTGGCTGGGGAATTCCCACGCCCACTCTGGCCTCCTCCTTGAGGACAAGGGGACAGGGAGGGTGCTCACCTTTCACCTGGTTCTTTTTGAGAAGCAAAAGTAGCAGCAGAGTAGCGGCAGTGAGAAGGCAGGCCAGCCACACCAGGACCCAGCGCTTGTGGATGTCTGCTAGACCCAAAGAGGAAGCCAGGCCAGTTAAATCACACCTCACACTCAAACCCACACTTCACCAGGCACATCTGAGGCCCAGAGAAAGGAAGGGACCTGGCTAGTGTCCACCTCACGGAAGTGGCAGAGCCAGGATCTGAGCAAACACACATACAGTTACTTGGGTGACACTGAATCGGGGTCCACCTCTAGGATGGGGATAATTATAGAACCTAACTCACAGGGTTGTGGGGACTGAATCTATTCTTAACACACAGAACTCTTAACAGCACCTGGCATCCTAAAAACTCTGGTGTCAGTTGACACTATGTCAGTGGCCAGACCCTTGATCTCAGCGCTCCCGCAAAGACCTCCAAACAGGTGCCCCTGCCCTTGGGTTTGGCCTTCGGGCCATTCACCACATGGCAGTCCTATAGAGGTTTACGAATGTGAATCTGGCGGCCATCCCATCATAGCCCTTTGGGAAGGTCCGGCTGTGTGCATCATAGCCAGATGTCCCAGATGGACCCCAGCCCCTGCATTCCCAGGAAGGGCCTGCCCAAGACCCTCCGGCCCAAGACATTAGCCACTGTGGAACTGCTCTCCAAAAGCACCCCTTCATAGAAATGCACGTCCACCCTCTTCGCTGAGTTCAGCTCCAACCCTCCTTTGAGCTCCCTATTCCACCTCCCTCCAGACACGCGTACTTTACACTGCCCCAACAGCTCACACTTCCTGTAAGGGGTGGTCTGGCTAGTTTTCCTCAGGGTTGGGGTGGGGACAGGGGTCACTTCTTCTTTGTAGATCCTCGGACCCTGAAAGTTCTCATCTGTGTTTTTGGAACAAAGGAACACTGTCCATCTGGTTTATCTGAGCCAGGGGAAGGACAAGACCATTACCACATGGGCTGCCCCCAAGGAGTGGTCACTGCCAAGAGTCAGACTGCGGTTCCCAGAAGGAGAGCAGCTCTTGTGATACTCACACTTGTCCATGGAGCAGGCCCACAGCGCTCCCAGTGTGTCATTCCAGAGCTGCAGGACACAGAAGCAAAGACTGAGCCTCCAGCTCAGAGATTAGCTCCTGCTACGTTCTGGCCAGCACCAGCTAGTTCCCGCCGTGTGCTCTTTGCCGGGTGCTGATCTCCCGGCACACAGCGGCGGGCTCCTACACCCTGATCTGCCTTGGCTTACACTTCTCCTGCTGCTTTGGATGTTCCTCTTTCCATGTCAAATCTCGCCCACCCTTCCTTGACACTCACCTGGGAAAGTACCACTTAGCATATGTGGATGTAGTGGTCTGCTTACTGACTACTTTGGGGGCACAATGGTTAAGCGCTTGGCTACGAACGGAAACGTCAGCCATTTGAACCCACTCAGGTCCTGGGAGAAAGGCCTGACGAGTGCTTCGGTCAAGACTGCAGCCTAGAAAATCCCAGGGGGCAGGTCTGCTCTGCCACAGGGGTTGTTCTGAGCCTCTGAGCACACAAATGAACTAGATGTCCAACAACCGTTGCAAGCAGCGAGCCCCTGGTGTCTACCCTCAGGCTTCTAGGGCTGGGCCCAACACAAGCATGGGCAGAAGGACAAGGAGGAGGCTTGGGAAAGGCCTGGGTTTCCCTGGAGCTCCTGCTCTGCTAGGTGGGGAGAGACGGCCAGGCCAGGGCTTCCGGGTCTGGTGCGCTCTGCTCACCTGTTCACACAGACCTGACTGCAGATCCCAAAGGAGCTGCTCTCCATGGCGAGCTGCCCGCTGCCAAGCCAAAGGAGGAGGTGGTCAGTGGGGGTGGCACTCTGAGGAGATCACCAGGCTCCAGCTGCCACTGAGGGCGGGGTCCCGGTCTGAGCCACCCCCACGTTCCTCCCCAGAGACCAACACAGAGCCTGGCATGGAGCAGGGGAAATGGATGGAGGGAACAACTGAGGTCAGGTTGGAGGGGAGGGTTCTCAGCCCTCACCGTGGAGGTCCTGCTAGGAAGCGGAGTGCAACCACTGGCTTCCAAGGCACAGAAGGATCTGTTGTCCTGGGAGCCTCGTTTCTCCACCAACAGCACGTCATCCTTGGGGGGACCCAGGGAGTCTGCAAGGGGCGAGGAGGCCAGTCTCCATGAGACACAGCCTTGTAGGGGCAGCCCCTTGCCCCTCGCCCTGCCCTTCATCCCCAGGGCTCGGTCCTACTGTAGTGGTCTGCCCGACCACTTGCAGGCCCCACTCACCAGCCCACAAGCAGTCTTCCAGCTGTAGTTTCTCCCAGTTGCTCACCTGAAGGAAAGGGGGACAAGGTTAGAGACCCGGGCATGCCGGGGCCAAAGCCTGAAGGCTGGGTGGTCAGGAAGGTCGCTGTCTTTCTCACCTCAGCCGAGCTCCCACCCCGTGCCCTTCCCCTCACCTGGTCACTTCCCTTAAAATTACAACCCCACTCCAATCTTGCCCCTCTCGCCTTTGCCCACAGTATTTATGGACCGTTTTATACCACACACTCTTGCAATCTGAAATTCTACAGCACACCGAATAATGCGCTCGTGTGTTCAGCTTACTGTCCATTGTCTCCATGGAGGCACAAGCTTTCGAAGGATGAGAACTGCTACTGGTTTTGCTCACTGACCTTTCCAACCCGTTTCTTAAAACATGGCACAGCCCCCGAACCAAACCAAACTCATGGCACCACCTCACGGCAGCCTTCCAAGGCTGCAAATCTTCCTGGCACCCGAAAGCCACACCTTTCTCTCTTGAGGAGGGTGGTGAGTTTGAACTGCTGACTTGGCAGTTAGCAGCCTGACATGTTAACCCACTATGCCACCAGGGCTCCTATCGTAAATGCTCAGTAAGTACCTGCCAAGTAAATGACTGCCTTGACAGCCGCCCTTTGAAGGCCCAGGACAGCAGGCGGCACAGGTGGGGAAAGGGACAAACGTTAGCAATATCAGCACCTGTGCCAGCCTTGAAGGGGAGACTATTTACGCCTCGCAGCTGTCTCAGGACGGTTCAGCACTGGTTGCCAAGGGAAACCTGGGTCCTGTGAAGAAAGGCCTGGAGGGCTACTTGCGTCAAGACCGCAGCCTGGGATCAGCCGCTGAGAGTTCCCCGGAGGGGCCGGGGCCCACTGAGGCGCGGGTGGAAGGCGCCCAGGGAGGCACAGACCCACTCTGCTCTGGGGTGCTTCAGAGGACAGTAGCGTGCCTCCCTCTGAGACCCATTCCCAACCAAATGCGCGGCCCTCCCTTCTCACCTGGACGCAGAGGTTGGGGTGACCTTTCAGCAAGGGGAACCTGAGGAGCTCCTGCGGGAAGGCAGAGGGATGAAGGGGGTCACAAAGCGGGGTGCCTAGAGCCCTTCTGCCTGCACCTGGGAGCCACCTGCCACCCTTCTCACTTTCACTGTGATGTTTTTCCAGGACAGTTGCGGAACCAGCGGCTGGCAGGGGGTCCCACCTGGTGCCCTCCAGCACAACACCACCTCAGCAAACAGCGGGCAGGGTGCCACCAGCCGCCACCCCAGGGGTGGCAGCAGCTGCAGCTGAGCAGCACGCCACAGGTTCCAATGTGCACGGGGGTCTGCAAGGAGAGATCTCTGAGTGGTGCACCTGTCCGCCCTGG